CAAGGGTGGAGCTGTCTGGTAGCTAGCAGGAGATGCTGGGCACACACATAAGTGGCATGAGGAAGCTCCCACCTGGTAAAGCTCACCTCCCGGCAGCACCAGGTACTCGGCCATGGCTGCCACCCTCCTCCCTCTGTGGGGTCCTGACACCTCAGGCACACTTCTCTAACCTGCCCCCTCCTCCTTGGCAGCAGGCCTGGCTTTTTCTGGACGCTCCTGTGGGTCTGTTGGGGACCCGGGGCACTGTGGGCAATAAGGGTCTTGCTTGCTGCCACACTGGGGGCCTCTGCCCTGGTGTGAGCCCCTGTCTCCTTTAGCCAGGGTGGTGACAGTCTCTTGCTCATGCCTCCTGGGTGTCTTCTCTACCACCCGACCTGCTCCAGAATGTATTTCTGTAGAAATTAGAAATTAGAAATTTCTGTATAAATGGCTATAATTTATAGTAGCAAAACCACTTATACAGTAGAATCCAGGTTGTCACTTTGCTGGGAGCAGGAACTGCCTTGGAGGAGCCTGAACTGGGTGGTCTGGAGGGGAGGGGACAACACTGCCGTTGGGGAGGACACCAGCCCTGCTGCCCAGGGGTCATCCCCTTTCCCAGCTGCCTTGGAGACAGAAAACCTGAAGCTGTGCTTCCAGAGATATCGGGAGAGGCTTCTAGGGCCAGCTGTGTCAGGTGCACCCTAGTTTGTTTGACACAGCAGCCTTGGAGCTTGACCCCACGGCCCTCCCAGGCCTCATGGCTCATGCTGCTCCGAAGCATCAGTTCACACTTGGGAAGGCCCATTCTCTTGCGTGAGATGCTACATTGACATTTTCTAGGCTTTTAAAGCAGGTCCTGCAGTCCTTCTGGGAAGCTAACTTTGTTCTTTTCACTGCTGTTCTTTGTCCTGAGTCATCACTGGGCTTACGATCATGGAGCCCTTGGGGTAGGAAGGGACCTGCCGGCTGGCTGGTGAGGCAGGGCTGTTGGGTGCCCAGACAAAGCTGCTGCCCCCAAGCTCTGTGACCCCATGGGGAGTTCCATCGGATCCCTGAGACTTACAGTTGGAAGGTCTCGGAATCCTGGGGTGGTGGGATCCTGTGCTTAACAGCCCTGGGCATGTGGTTGGGTCTCTGGCACCTCACAAGATTTACTCCCTCCTGTAGCCTGTCTCCAGCGCCCCCACATCCACTTCTGTTATAACTTTCCCACCTTGCTGGCCATGCCCTGGAGACCCCTCAGCCAGTGGCATGGCTCTACCAGGTGCCCCAGAGGTGGTCTGAGGAGGGGGTGGGGGTGGACACGTGCCTGCTGCAGCAGAGGCGCAGCTGCCTTGCCGGCCTTGGTCTATGCACGAGGCACACTTACTCCAGGGCCAGGCCTTTGCATGTGCTGTTTGTTTCCTCTGCCTGGAATGCTCTCTCATACTGAAGACCCCACCTGCTCCCTGAGGGAGTGTGAACCGGAGGCAGGCAGAGGTTCCTGTTCTGTTCATCATTGTATCTTAGTGCCCGGCCCTGGCATGCAGGAGGCGCCCTCGGGATGTGCTGAGCAAGCACTGACCTAATGAGAACCTCAAGGCACTGTTTGCGGGTCTTGCCCTCGGCCTGCCATCTATCTAGGATCTCCACACAGATGTCCTCAGTGGGCCAGCTGCCTCCTGTGACATGGGTCACATGTACTTACCTGGCCTGTGTCTCCTGGAGAATGGGTGCCAAGCCATGTCAGAAGGACGTTTCAGAGTGAAATTTGTGAGAAGTGTTGGAAGAGCTGACGAGGGTCCTCACCCAGCCCCTTGTCTTAGTGGTGGGGGGGGGGGGGTCACCATCAGCCTAGCCCCCTTTGGCCCTCCTGCTTACTTCCTGTTGAGTCAAGCCCGGCAGCCAAGGAGGCTTGGTGATGCTGAGCCACATCCCAGGCAGCCCCCCACCACCCATGCCTGGGCCCCCAGCAGCCCTCACAGGCACGGCTCCCCCCTCCCCCCACCCCCCCCCCCAACCAGGATGTGTTCGAGATGCGCTTTGCCAAGATGCCAGACGAGCCTGAGGAGCCTGTGGTGGCCGTGTCCTCCCCAGCGGTGCCACCCCCAACCAAAGTGGCAGCCCCACCCTCGTCCAGCGACAGCAGCAGCGATAGCTCCTCCGACAGTGACAGCTCCACCGATGACTCTGAAGAGGAACGAGCCCAGCGGCTGGCCGAGCTCCAGGAGCAGGTGAGGATGTGGGCAGCCCCATTCCCAGTCACCCAGAATGCATGGGCCGGGCAGTCTCCCCAGGGTTCTCCATGACCTGGCGAGTCCCAGCTCGGAGTTCCAGCGGGATGAGGGGTTTAAGGGTGCTGGCCTCCCGTGCAGTGGGAAATCGGTGTGTAACTTCTGGCTCCCCAGAACACCTGTTAACAGCCTACTGTTGACCAGAAGCTACCTGTAACGTAAAGAGTCGATTAATTCCTATTTTATGGGTGACACATATTATGTAGTGTATTCTTACGGCAAAGTAAGGAAACATCAAGAAAATCATAAGAACTGGAAAATATATTCATAGTACCGTATCGATCGGGAAAAAAAATCCACATATAAGTGGACTTGCACAGTTCAGACCCACATTGTTCAAGAGTCAACTGCATATATGTACACCGTGGGTGTGGAGGTAGGAAGACATGGCTGTTTTGCGGGCAGAGGCGAGGCTTCTAGATCCTTCCAGCATCTGAAAGGAGGAGCCTCAGCCGGGATGTCCATCTCTCCTGAGGCCCCACAAGCCAGCCATCAGGACCTTAGTACCCACCCTCCCAGGGACCCTCCTCCTGGATGGCTGTGGAGCTTGGTATCTGCCAGCTTGGGCAGCTTCTCTAGCCAAGAGGACACTGGCCATCCTCGGAGTCCACGGCCTGGGTGGGTGTGGCCTGGGATTCAAAATTCTGGTGAGGCGGCAGGTCACAAGGCTGAGGGCCAGCCCCCTTCCCTGTGCTTCCCTCCTCCTCTGCACCCTGGTGCCCGGGGGTCCACCCAGAGACCAGGATGATGGGCGCGTGTACCTTGCCTGTCTTCTCCACAGCTCAAAGCCGTGCACGAGCAGCTTGCAGCCCTCTCCCAGCCCCAGCAGAACAAACCAAAGAAAAAGGAGAAAGACAAAAAAGAAAAGAAAAAAGAAAAGCACAAAAAGAAAGAAGAAGTGGAGGAGAATAAGAAGAGCAAAGCCAAGGAACTTCCTCCTAAAAAGACCAAGAAAAATAACAGCAGCAACAGCAATGCGAGGTCTGCCTCCCTGAGCTGCCCTGGGTGGGGACCCCTGCTGGCCACGGTGGGTAGGGAGGCTGCCTCGCCGCCCTTTCTCCTGGGGTGGGTCTTGGCACCCAGTGTGTTTGGGAAGGGAAGGAAGATAGGCAGCATGGAGCAGAAGGTGAGGACAGGGCATGGCTTGCGGTCTGTGTGCGTTGGGTGCTCCCAGGAAGGCGTTGCCAGCCTCCCCTGTTTCCTGTGAAGGCCATCTGGGTGGGGGTGTGGAAGCCCTCCCCTAAGCCCCCGATGGAGGAATGGGTGCCTCACGTTGACAATGGTGTCTGCATCATCCCTTCGTAGCAAGAAGGAGCCTGCGCCCATGAAGAACAAGCCCCCTCCTGCGTACGAGTCGGAGGAGGAGGACAAGTGCAAGCCCATGTCGTATGAGGAGAAGAGGCAGCTCAGCCTAGACATCAACAAGCTCCCTGGTGAGAAGCTGGGCCGCGTGGTGCACATCATCCAGTCGCGGGAGCCCTCCCTCAAGAACTCCAACCCCGATGAGATTGAGATCGACTTTGAGACTCTGAAGCCGTCCACCCTTCGAGAACTGGAGCGCTACGTAACCTCCTGTTTGCGGAAGAAAAGGAAACCTCAAGGTGCCCTTGGGCCCCTGGGGCAGGGTGTGCTCTGAGTCCTGGCCGGCCCTGGCCGACAGGGAGGAGGCTGGGCGAGTGGGCATCCTCCATTAACTTTGCCTTCCAGACATGGCCCTCTCCCTCTGTAGGCTGTTTTTCCAGTTACAAAAGCTGTGTCCCCGACACAGAAACCTCTGGAGGGCTGTGACATCACACTTGACCCTGGGCTGGTGGTGCCATTCTCCACCTCCTGGCCGGTACCCATCTAAGGCCTGCCTGCACCTCAGTGTCCTCAGCCTTGCTCTGAGCAGCAGCTTCTGTTGCCCTTACCACTGGGTCTTCCCCAGAAGCCAGCCACCCCTGCCCTGCTGCCACCTCTTTAGAACAGAGGGTGAGGGCCGGGTGCAGTGGCCAGGAGGAAAGATGTTAGGTCCCCACTGCCTGCTTTGCTTCTCTGCTTCGACACGGGCCCCTCCGCAACAGTCTGCCAGGCAGCACTTGCCTGTTACAAATGTCTCATCTTAACTCACGGCTTTTGTCTGGAGACCAGTAGGACTTAATATCCACATCAGAGTGTTGTATGCAGCTTTTGTCCCAGTCCACGTTGACTCCTGGGGCGCTCGGGCTCCTCCCTAGGGTGCTGCACAGTGACACTGTGCCCTCGGTCTACTCACCGAGGTGCTGGGAGACTCCCGGGGCTCTTTCACGTCTTGCTTTGTCCCTGCCGTCATGTCTTGGGGTCCCCTGCACCCACTGTCTGAAAAGTAGCTGAGGGAGCCTGAGCTCAGCGGTCCCTCATGTCAGGGAATTACTTCCTACCTTGTCTCTTAACTGTCTGGTGAACCCAGCATAGGGTATTGAGAGATTGGAGGGGCTTTGAAATTCTAGTATTAAGCCAAGCTTTTGGCTGGCATGCAGTAGGACTGGTCAGGGCCTCGTAGAAGCAGCCCACTGGCCCTTCTTGCGGGCAGTTGGGCTATTCCTGTGGCCAGCAGTAGCCCCCTAGGTCGGGGCCCCGCCTGACCGTGTCCCTGTTGCTTTATTACAGCCGAGAAAGTTGATGTGATTGCTGGCTCCTCTAAGATGAAGGGCTTCTCGTCCTCGGAGTCGGAGAGCACCAGCGAGTCCAGCTCTTCTGACAGTGAAGACTCCGAAACAGGTTAGATGTCTTACTGAGCTTCTTGTCGCGTTCTTCCCTGTGTTTGGCTCAGTCACATGTCCAGGCTACCTGAGACCAGAGACAGCTGTCATAATAAGAACGGTAACCCTCTCGCTAGGACACTGGGGAGCTCGGGGGGCCTGGTGAGGACTTTGGGTGTTGGGGCCCAGGTGGTGGCATCAGTGTTAGTGTGACCCCGCCCAGCCCTACAGTTTCTTCCTGTGTCACAGTCGCATGCAGCACGGCTGTTCAGGTGATGTGCTCCAGCAGCACGTGTGTAGCGGCCTGCTCTCGACGCTGCTGTCACCAGGCTCGGGGCTCTGCCATTCGCCCCAGAGTGCTCACAGCTGCATTGGCTGCTCCTAACGCAGTGTGCACACACGTGGGCCTGCACGTGTGCCCCATGGTGGTGTCCTGGCTGACCCTACCGCCCACCTGAGCAGCAGCTTCAGTGTGGGAAGTGGGAGTGAGAAAGGGCAGGTGGAGACGCTGAGAGCTGCAGGGTGGTAGGAGAGAAGCTTTTCCTGCAGAGGGGTGCTTTCCTGATTATTCGCGGGGAGCATGGGGAGAAGGGCAGATGCTCCCTCACACTGGCCCGGAGGAGACGCTAGAAAGGAAGCCTGGCAACCAGCCTGTTCTGTGAGCTGGAGCTGGTGGGGGTGGCCGTGCGAGTCTGGGGGGGCGGGCTGGCCCCTGGGCAGGTCTAGTGCCATCAGCCGAGCAGCCTCTCCAGGCAGGCTGTGGTATGTGCATCCTCAGTGGGAAGTGTATTTCTGGGTGTTTTCTTTCATAGACCTGTTTCGTCTCTGGCATGTTATTCTGACTTAAAACTAATAGTAAGCCCCACGTAGTCAGTTTATGAAGATACTGTGATCTGATCGGGCCAAGGAAGTTTGAGGCCCCTTACACTTAGAATAGCTTTGTGACCCCTCTCCCGAGGCGTGTGCACACCCGGGTCCTCTTGTCAGCTCAGCCTGCCTTTTTCTGGGGAAGCTGAGGACAGGAGGGCTTCTGGGCCTTCTCACTCTATCTCTCCGCTTTGACAGGAAAGGGTACCAGGCTTCCCAGGTAGGTGGGAGGCTTGCCTTGAGGTGGGCTAAGGGCTTCTCCAAGACTCCAGATTCTGTCTCCAGTGGGCCCAAATGAGAGTCATTAAGTCATTAAGCTATGTTCCATATTTCCTGAGCTCCGCTATATGCAGAGACTGCTGTGGGCAGTTTGCTGCCCTTCTGTCTCCATCCTTTGTCCTTTTCTTCTAACCAGCACCTCCCCCCCACCCCCCACCCCCGTGGCTTTTTTATCTGTCAACCAGCAGGGGGCGCCACAGCCCCATACCCGCCCAGGAAGGGCTGGCAGGAAGCCAGCGCCAACTGCCCTCTGCAGGATGAATGACCGTATTCTTGGGCCCAATTAGCATTCCTGGTGGCCCCTGACTTCTCACCTTCTTCTGTGCCAGCCATGCTGCAGGTTTGCCTTTGCTCTGGGGTTTTGCACCTCCTGCAGTTTCTAGCACGCTGCTCCTGCTAGGGGTGTCACAACCTTTTCTCCTAAGTATATGAGTGACCAAAAGAAAACCCCAAAGCTTGGAATTGGCAGGGGACCCGATTGTTAAAACGGCGCAGTTTGGCCAAGGGCAAACTGCTTTGGCCCCGACGTAGATCGTGGTACCCAACCGGCAAGTCCTCATTGCGAATCTGTGACTGTGGCCTTTGTCCCTGATCCCCAAGCACTTTGGGGTGTGTTTGCCTTAGGTGGGAAATCCTCCTGGGCTCCTGAGTGCCTTGCACACGCCTCTTACCATCTGACGTGGGGCAGCTGTGACGGAATCTCCAACAGCTCTCGACTGCTGAGAATACTTTTTCCTTTTTTGTGCCCCCCCCCCCCCCCCTTTTAAAGAGATGGAAAGATTGTGCAACAAGTAATCTGAGAGTCCTGGGAACAGCTGTCCTGGCGGGAAGGAGGGTGAGATTTACAGTCTCTGAGCCGACGGCCTGCAGGCTCCCAGGCTCCAGCAATCCGGCCCGGTGGCTTGCCCTGCTGCTTTCGGCCCATCCCTCTTTCCAGGCACCCTCCCCACCTTGAGTTTTGGGAGGCTCCCATTTGTCTTCAAGGCTCTGGCTTTTCCTTTGCCATCTGTGTGCACCGGAGAGCTCTATTGTGGGTCAGCTGGATGCTTCTCTCAAGAGAACCACCGTGTGGGTTTGTGCCCTAGGGCTCAGACACTCGGCCCGAAAATGGGAGGGAAGCTTGCGCCCCTGCATCATTGAATGCAGCTACCTGCCACCCCATCCCGCATAGGAAACTGCACTTGCTTCCAGGGCAGCTGCTCAAGCTGGGTCCCTGGAGCTAGGCAGCCCCAATTTCTGTGGCCAGTTAGTGGTTCTGCCTTGGGAAGATAGGACAGGGTGGGGGTTATTGAAGGTATTTCTTTTGGTCTTTTGGGGTTTGTTTTTGCCCTCCTTGTTCTTGTGTTTCCATTTGGACTGGAGCCGAAATTCCTGAAAGGGCCTATTTTTGTCACTTGTACTAAGGGTCGTTTCTGCCGACAGGGCCCTGAGACATGAATCACCAAAAGAAACCAAACAGAGGCACTAAATTGGAGCTTGGTGGGGGGGTTGGGGGGGTTGGTGCATAGATCCCTTCTCTGGCCGCTCTCCATAGATAAGGATGCTGTGGACTGCTTAAGGCATGGGGCTGGTCCTTGGGGCCAAGCAGCAGTTCAGGGAGGCGGTGCACCCACAGATGGAGTTGGGGGGGCAGGGGTTGGGCTTTCCTAGCTCGGTCCCGGGCCACCATGTGTTCCTCCCCACCACCCAGAAGCACGCTGTTGGCCAGTCCCACCACATCCTCTGAACCCAGCTATTACTTGGATTATGGTCTTTCATTGAGCTTCAGTTCTGGATAAAGTTCGAATCTGCTTCAGGGTTCAGTATTGGTACAGGGCAGGGGATGCAAATGCCACTTTCCCACTTGCTCCTAAGGCATCTGTAGACCTCGGCTGGGCAGGCCAGAGGTGAGTGCCTGGTTCCCCCTTTTCCGCAGCCATCCCAGATGGGCTTTGGGCAGAGCTGTGTGGCCTGTCTGCCTGGCTCACGGGGCCAGAGGGAATGTCCTAGGACTCTTTGTCCAGCTTTCCACCCCGTCATGTCGCTGATGACAGCCTCTTTCCACGTGCCATCCACAGGTCTTTCTGGGTAGGGTGGGTACACAGCTCCTGTCCCTCTTAGGACTGCACCCTTGTACCCCAGCTACCTGGCTGGGATGGCTTCAGGGAGGTGTGGGGTAGTTCTCTTGGATTTGTGCCTGGTCTTCTAGTTGCAGTGGGAGCACACGCCAGCTATTTTAGTCTCCTTGTTTCCTTTTCCCAGGATTTGAGCTTGTGGGTGTTTCTTAATAGCTCCGGGGAAAAAAGGAATGCTTGATGTTTTGGAAAGATTTGAGCCGGAAAGTGCAGACAGAGGCCACAGGGCGTTCTTCCCAGACAACCAGCCTCAGCTTCCGACCCCTGGGGTCTTTGAGGGACTGGGTCCCAGGCCCATCTTGGGGCCTGCTGCTGCCTGCTCCAAGGGTGTAATACTTGCTCTTGGGAAGAGGGAGAGGCCCCTGGTAGGGGCATAGGGAGGTAGGAAGGGACCTGGAGGGCAGGACTGTAGCTAGTCTGCCTGTGCTGTCAGGTGACCCCTCTCATACACTCACATGCAGAGGTCGCAGCTGGAGGGACTCTGGGGCTTCGTGGGCGAGGGTGAGCCTTGTGGAATGTGCCCTGAATGACAGTCCGGCCAGTGGGTGGGTTTTTCCCACGCACGCGCGCGCGCACACACACACACGCACACACACACACACACACGAAGACCATGGGACTGCAGTGTTGGTTGCATCCGTGACTCTGGCAGAGGCATCTCCTCTGCTGTGTGGGTGGGAACATGCCCCACGCCCTTCTCCCGTCAAGGGGAAACACTCGAGACCGCTTTCCTCCTCGGCATGTCTTCTGATTTCACCCCACCTTGACGGTGTATAGAATTGTTTGGTCTTTTTGTAATTTGTTTTTTGTTGATGTTTCTTGGTGTTTGTAGGAATGCAGAAAGGAGGGTGTTTGCTGGAGGTCCTGCACTGCAGAGCCCCTCTCTTGGGGGTTTTCTTACCTGTGCCCCGGCCCTGAGGAAGGGCTGGCATCACCTTCCTGAGAAAGACAGTGTGCAGTAAAGCAGATACGGAGGGGAGACAAGCTTAGGGTCGGGGGCGGGGGTGGGTGCCTGATGGACGTGTGGGCACACCTGGCTGGTCTTCAGGGGTGATGGCAAGGACGACAGGCCAGGGCATCTCTCACATTCAAAGACCAGTAAAGGAAATGCTGTTCGATGCTCAGGGTGCACATGAACTTGTTCCTGGAAGCAGTTACTCTGTGTGGAAGCATGAGCAGGCTCTGGGTGGTTTTGGAGACATCCACACGTGCCGGATCTGTGGCCCTTGTAAAGGGAAGGTGGGTCTGTCCCCGCCCGCGGCTGGCCAGGCAGGGGGCAGGGCTCCCAGGCTCCGGCGCCGTTCTCTCGTGCCCTGTCCGTGGGCAGGGCACAGGAGGCTGGCTCGGTCTGTGGTTCTTCTGTTCTTGTGACTTGAACGGTACATTCCACACCATTTCTCTCACACTGGTTTCTCTCTCCCTCTATGTAGGTCCTGCCTAATCATTGGACACGGACTCTTAATAAAACGGTCTTCAGTTCCAGATTCCTTCCCAGCAAGCTATAGCTTAAGTCCATTTTCTTCTGTGAAAGGGACAGGACTCCATCAAGTTATGGAATTCCTCAGAGCCCTGGGCCTGTCCCCTGGGGTGGATTTAGTCATGTCCAGCAGCACACGCCTAATCCCGCCTCCGGGAAGGCTGCCTGCTCGGCTGGCCACCTGGGCCTCCTGTGTAAAGACTGCTTGGCTGTCCTGCCCAGCCTCCCTGGTCGTCTGGGGTCTTCTGGGTGGGTGGCATCTCCCAGAGGGTGATGACAATCCCCCCGCACACACATACGTGTGGTGCTGCTCCGTGTGCAAGGCCCCGTCATGAGTATGTTTTCTCTCTTCATCCCTCCCTCTTTTTCTGGATCCTAACTGCTTTCCTCCTGGATCTTAAAATGATGTTAGCCCAGGGACGATCTCATTCAGCCTAAAGAAGAACACTCTAATCAATCTAGTGCTTTCCCCAGTGAGGAACAGGGGCTTTAGGGGCAAGCCTGGCTGGGCTCAAAAGCTCACGGGGTTGTCCCTCAGCATGCCCTCTTTCTGGTGGCTTGTGAGGCTCCAGCCAGAGGCTGTCCCCAGCCACAGGCTACTCCCGGCCCCTGGAGTCTTCCTTCTGTTTTCATTGTTCCCATTGTTGCCTGTTGGGCATTTTCCCAACTTTTTGGCCTCTTTGCCCGAAGTCACAGAGGGGAAAGTACCTCTTGGGCTGCCTCCCTGTCCCTCCCAAGTAATTAGAAGCAGGCTACAGGGGGAAGGGGTGCTTTTAGGAAGGCCACTGGTGAGGGGCACTCGAGGAAGAGTGGCCATGCAGCCAGGTGACCTGTCCCAAGTGGGGTGGGACACTGGGCTGGTGGGCGAGAAAAGGCTCTCAAACCCAGAACACTGGACCAGTCCATAGTGAGGCCATCAGAGCCCTCGGGGTCTGCTCTGTGCACATCTCTGAAGGGGTGTCGCCAGTGCAAGCACCCTCTCAGTCTTCAGTCCCCTAGAATAATGACAGCCTCTGGGGGTGGGGCAGGCCAGGGTGGGCACATCATCCAAGCCCTGTGAGAGGCACTGAATAGGATTTTTTGCTCTAAAAATAAATATCAGCCCTTTTTTGGTCATGAATCCAGCATTTCAGCAGAAAACTGCCTGATGAAAAGTCCCTTAAGGAACAGCATCTGTGTTTCAGGGAGTTTTGTTTTGTTTTTGTTTTTCTTTGTTGTTGTTTTGGGGGGGGGGGTTGGTTTTTTGGGTTTTTTTGTTTTTTTTTTCCCCCCCTCTTTTTAAAGTGTAGTTTGTGTGTACTTCTTCAAGGCTTATAACAGTCTCCTGGCACCTTGGAGCCTGCCTTCTAGAGCTGGAAGCAAGTTTGAGGAGGTATAGTTCCGTCAGCAGCTGGTGGATGCTGGCCACCTCCTGTGCGGAAACCCTGGGACACTTCCTCGGGCCTTGGGTTCTAGATCCAGCCTCTCCAGGGCCCTGCAGTGATGCTTGCGAGTTCCTAGGCTGCTCTCTGATCCTCTGGCCAGTCTTCTTCCAGTCAAACTCATTTGCCAAACAGACTATTTTGAGTTGCCCTTTGGCCTGTGCCTGATGTGTTCCCAGTGCAGCTCGGCCTGGCTGGAGCCAGGGGGCTTCATGCCCAGAGATTCCCACAGGACAGTTGGGAAGCTGCTGGCATTGTCTTTCTGGGAAGATTCTGCTGTCTTGGAACAAATGGCAGCCTGGATTCCCACAGTGTCGGCCTGTGTTGCCGCCCCACCCCTTCCCACACTCGTGCATACCAGCTATAGCCACAGGCCAGCTCGCCTGCAGGGTCTCTGCACCCTTGCTGTCCAGGGGTCCTGGCCTCCTTGCCCATCGGGCTTTTATCTGTCAGGGAACTCGATGTTTAGACTCGAGCCGTTACCTGTGCCCAGTGCCCCAGGAATAGGGCAGAGAGAGCAGTGCCCACTCACTCCTCATTGGCAGCCTCCTGTGTGTGAGCAGGGGGACATGCCAGCTGGGCCTTGACACACCAGCCAGCCTGCGGGGCCTGAGGAGTTGCTGTAGGAGGGGCGGGTGGCCTGGGCCTCTGCTAGCGCCAAGGCTTCCCCGTCCGTTGCGTTGAGGGGCTCTGTGCCTCGGCCCTGCCCTTACCCTCAATCCTGTCTCCTTCCCTTGAGTGGGGGCGGGGGGGGGGGGGGGGGGGGGAATCAGTGTTTTAATCAGATTTTACAAAAACGTTTTAATTCTTTGTACAATTACCATCCTATGTAAAGATGAAATTTGTGTTGAGTTCAAGATTTTCATGGAATAAAGATCACACAGTACTCGAGGCCATCTTCATGTAACCCTTTCTAGAGAGTTTTGTGTGGGTGTCTCGGGGCTGGTGTGTCGTGAAGCTGTGCACTTCCTGTCTTGTCTTCCTACCAGTAACTCCAGCAGGAGGCTCGGACCACATGAGCTGTACGCAGCTGTCCCAAACAGGCTCCAGCACCCTTCGGTCCCCACCGCCGGCCCCTTTTGTGACCTCTGGTCCTGGAGGTCTGCTGCGTACCTCCCACTGGTTCTCCCACTCTAGGCCCGTCCCCCTCCGCACCGGCACTTCCCCACAGAGACCTGGGACACTTGCCAAGGCAGCCAAGACCCACTCTCTGGAACCCCTGGGACCCCACAGCATTTTGTCCCCATGAGTGCTCACGTGGGCCTCTCTGCTCATGGCGTGCGAGGAGATAGTGAGGGCACACAGCTACCACCGTCCCTCCGTTATGGTAGGAAAAAGGGGGATATCCCCTGAGGCCATGAGATGACAGGCCACCCCAGCTCTCTCCCTGCAACACCGTGTCTTCTCCTGGTCAGTCTTTCCCCACTGAGCCTGAGCCCTTTCTTACCCTAGGTTCCAGTCCCCCAGACTCCCAAAGGCCTGCCCATGTGTGAGTGGCTGCTCCAGCCTCCCTCGAGTTTCAGTGTCTGTTCCTGGGATCTGCTGCGAGAGGTGCCCGTCCTGGAGGGACGCCCCCGCCCCCAGCCCCTTCCTGCTTCCTTCGGCTCAGAGGCCTGTGCACACCATGCTCTGCCCAGTGCATGGAGGGCCCCTTTGGTCCTGGGCCTCCCACCTTTCTAGTTCAGTGTCCTTCCTTCACCCTGCAGCTGCCAGCCCCATGGCCCTAATCCCGCAAGTCACCCAAACTGTCCCCTTTGTATGTCCCACCCACAAGAGTGTTCCTCTCACCCGGTTTCCTGCCATGACCCATAGAGCCCTGAACCCTCTCCTGGCATCTCCAGTGTCCGGGTTTGAGGCTGGGCTTCTGGTTCCCGTGTTCCAGGTGTCCCCGGTTGCGGCCATTTGTATGAGGACGTGTGTCCATAGCAGCTGAGGTCTTTGTCACTGTCTTGTCTCTTGCATGGAATGGTGAGCTCTTGCAGGGCATGAGGTCCCTTCTCCTCCGTTTTGGTAGCGTGCTGTGCCCTGTGGCTGCGCACCTCACAGAAGCTTAGCACGGCCCTCCGTGAAGCAGCTACCAGCAGAGGTGGCCCGCCTTGGGCAAAGCATGTGTCCTCCGACACCAGCAAGAGCCGGCACCCTGGCAAGGAGCTCAGGGGAAGCCAGGCAAAGCCAAGAGGTGTCTCTTGGTGACAGGAACTTGAAAGGCACCGTGGGTCCCGTCTCCTGCCTCGTTGTTGACTTCATCATTTCCTAGGCCAAGAGTGCCGACTGGGCCTCCTCTCCCTCTCTGGGGTTCGCACACCAGCGATTCTTGGCAGGGGACAAACAGGTGGCAGAAGATCCTTAGCATATATCTGTGGGTTGGGTGTGTGTGTTGGCGGTTGCCCATTCCTTGCAGGGACAGGCCCATCCTGGACAAGGCCATACCATGGCAGCAACAAGCCGCCGGCCCCTGAGGAACCAGGGCACACACTGCCTTCTCCCTGCAGCACGTTGGCTGTGTCCCATCACGGGGACTTGTCTGAGGCTGGTCTTTCACGAAGAAGGGGATGCTGGTTGGTGGCCACCTTTGCTGGCCACGGTAGCGAGCACCTCCGTTTCCTCCGGGTCTTTCCTGAGACGCTGGCCTGCCTTCCCTCCCTCTCTCCATCAGTCCCTCCCCTAAAGTGCTCACTCTGCAGCCAGGCCTTGGCCCATGCCGACACCACCACTCTCACCACAGTTGTGCAGCTCTGCTTCCCCTGGGAGGATGGGAAGGAGTCAGAGGGCAGTACAGTTGGAGGCAGCCATGTCGTTACTTTGCAGCTGCGTGACACAGGGCAGGTCCCTTAATTTCTCTGAGCCTCACTTGGCTGATCCATCAAATGGATGTGATCCTTTTGAGTGGCACAATTGTTCCAAGGCAGAGCGGGCTGGGGTACAGACACTTCAGTCACCATAGTGGCGTCTGACCCAGCAAGTGGGGGAGACACTGGGCAAGGAGGTCTCTGTAGCTCATCTCCCAGCGTACCCGGGCATCATCCTTTAGTGGAACTCGTGGGCAGGGAGGCTTTTCAGACGTGGTCCCTGCTAGGAGAAGTAGCAGGCAAATGGGTAGGTGATGCCCCATACGTCTCTCTCTCCCATGACCGACTCCCGTCCCTGACGGAACCCAGCTACCCTCCCTGTCACCGTCACCGGCCCTTCTGAACTTATCCTCTGTTTTCTCCTGGCTCTGCCTCCGAGGCCGGCTCACAGTCCTCTCCCCCAGCACCTCACCACCTTCTCTTTCCCTCTGCAGAGATGGCTCCGAAGTCAAAAAAGAAGGGGCACCCCGGGAGGGAGCAGAAGAAGGTACGTGGTCTCAGGGGTGTCCTCCAGCAGGTGAGCAGCTGGCCACCTGCCCTCATGGGCCCCGAGGGTACACAGGCGGGTCCCGCCTGCCTGACGTCAGCCTGTCTGTCCGCAGCACCATCACCACCACCATCAGCAGATGCAGCAGACCCCGGCCCCCGTGCCCCAGCAGCCCCCGCCGCCTCCCCAGCAGCCCCCACCGCCTCCACCTCCGCAGCAGCAGCAGCCCCCACCCCCGCCGCCCCCGCCTTCCATGCCGCCACAGGCAGCCACCACGATGAAGTCCTCGCCTCCGCCCTTCATCGCCGCCCAGGTGCCCGTCCTGGAGCCCCAGCTCCCAGGCAGCGTCTTCGACCCCATCGGCCACTTCACCCAGCCCATCCTGCACCTGCCGCAGCCCGAGCTGCCCCCTCACCTGCCCCAGCCGCCCGAGCACAGCACTCCACCTCATCTCAACCAGCACTCGGTGGTCTCTCCTCCAGGTGAGCTGCGGCCACGCCTGCCGAGGTGCAGGGAGGCCCCCTTCCCGTCCTGCACTTTCACTGACTAGGCACTCTGGGCGACCTGTGGAACCCCCTCGACTGTAGTTGTGTTGCTTCCAAAGGGAGGCCAGTTGATTTCCCGAGCCATTAAGGAAATGACAGGAGACTGAGACGCACGCCATGGGACGGGCCCCGCATAGAGTTAGTTCTTTAGTTCTTTGATACGGAAGACACTGATGTGTTCCTTCTGTGGGGTGGGTGTCGCGCGAGATAGAAAGAAGATACACGCTGCCGCACGCTGCCTCCAACTTGGGGATGGAGGTGCTGGGGGATGCATGCGCATTTGGGCCAGAGACAAAGTAGCTGGGGGGTGGGGGGAGCGTTGGGGAAGGCCTGCTCTGAGACCCGCAGGGCAAGGAGGGAGGTCGGGGGTGCAGAGCACAGGGCAGAGTGGCACTGGCGAGGGGACCGATCCCATAGACCTCTCTGGAAACTGTTCTTATTCCTGAATTTGTGGGAGGCCAGGGAGGGTGGGGCAGCCAGTGGCGGGAGACCCGTAGGAGGTCAGGATGGAGTGGGAAGGCTGGGCCTTGGGGTGCAGAAGCCGTGAGCCTCACTGCCGCGCCCTTGTCTTTCCAGCTTTGCACAACGCGCTGCCCCAGCAGCCGTCGCGGCCCAGCAACCGAGCCGCCGCCCTGCCCCCCAAGCCCGCCCGGCCCCCGGCCGTGTCACCTGCCCTGGCTCAGCCACCCCTTCTCCCACAGCCCCCCATGGCTCAGCCCCCCCAAGTGCTATTGCAGGAGGACGAAGAGCCACCCGCCCCACCCCTCACCTCCATGCAGATGCAGCTCTACCTGCAGCAGCTGCAGAAGGTGCAGCCCCCCACACCACTACTCCCTTCCGTGAAGGTGCAGTCCCAGCCCCCGCCCCCCCTGCCGCCCCCACCCCACCCTGCCGTGCAGCAGCAGCTGCAGCAGCAGCCACCACCACCGCCTCCCCAGCCGCAGCCACCGCCCCAGCAGCAGCACCAGCCCCCGCCACGGCCTGTGCACATGCAGCCCATGCAGTTCCCCACCCACATCCAGCAGCCCCCACCACCCCCGGGCCAGCAGCCTGCACACCCACCCCCTGGCCAGCAGCCGCCGCCGCCACAGCCTGCCAAGCCTCAACAGGTCATCCAGCACCACCCTTCACCCCGGCACCACAAGTCAGACCCCTATTCAACAGGTAAGTCGGCCCTTGCCCGGCCCCCCCCCCCCCCCCCCCGCCCCGCCCCGGGCTCTGGAAAAACTGGTGTTGGGCCCGGAATCTTGTCTTTAAGAAGCCCAGTGGGTCAGCTCAAGCTCCAGGCTGAGGTGGGCCCAGAGCTGAGCCTTGAAGGCTCTGGGTTGGTTGGAGAGGTGGCCGAGAGGGGGCGTTGGGGCTTCATGTAGCATTGTTATCTGGGGTCTGTCTTGACTTGCTACCTGAGATGACTGAGAATGGGGTCCCCGCTGGCCCTTGTCTGGGAAGTCACAGTCACGAGCATTACAGTACGTTGTGATCCTGCTAGGTGGGGAAGCCAGGAGCCCAGGGAGGCATCTTGTCCATTTCTGAGAGTCAGGACAGGCTTCCTGGAGGAGATTTCAAAGAATGAGCCAGAGCTAATTTAAACAGGGTAGGAAGTGAGGTCCAGACAGAGTTAGGGGCAGGCCAGGGTAGCTGGGGCTGTTTGGGAACCTGTAGAACTAGGTGCCCTGCTCTCAGCGTTGTGAAGCTCACCTGGTAGATGAGGACCATGTGGGAGAGAATTGGGTTTAAGCTGAGTGGTGGCTTGGGGCACACCCAGGAGCCATCTTCCATTTCCTGCTCCCTTTCTCCAGCCTGGTCCAGGCTGCCCTTTCCCACAGCAGTGGTCAGTCTGCACCCTCTTGCCTTTCCTGGCCCTTGTTTTTTAAGTGTCTGTGGCCATACCGTGCCGGGCAGCTTCAGCAAGGGGGATTGTTTCAGTCAGTGCCTCCTGGTGTGCTGATGCGTGAGGATCAAGGTTGAAGTTCTTGGACTTGGCAGGGCGGGCGGACCACGTAGCCTGGCTGGGGAGTGCAGGTGCCGCCTGCAAATTGAACAACAAGGCTGTTGATCTCGGGCCGTGACTGCTCCTAAAC